TAGAAATCCAATTATCATTTGGGCCAAAACCCAAAAGTTGATCTAACTTCTAGAAATTTTTTAAAATTATCTTCATATCTCTCTACCTACTTAACTACTACCCAATATTTCTATGAAAAAAAAAGTATCCTATTGAAATGAAAATCTAGATATTTATAATGAAACAAAGTATTATAGAAATAGTGGTGTTATCGTCAAAATTAAAACCTATAAGGATATTTTCCAGGAATCATTTTTTTTTAATAAATTTAACTAATGTGCCATTTCGTCGACAAAAAAAAAAAACTAATGTGCCATTTTTGGTTTCTAAAGGAAACATCTTTTTTGCCATGTATTGCTTTGTTTGTGTTACTCCTATAGAAATATTTTCTTTTAAGAATTACTTTAGAAAATCTTTATAAAAATAGTTTTCAAATTATTAATTTATTTAAGACTTTTAAACGTTTTAATTCTTTTGAAAATTAGTAATTTTTGAAGTTTGAAAGTTTTTTTGAAAATTAGTTCAGATGAAGTTTAAGCAAAATTTTTCCAAAAAAAAAATTAATAAAATTTTCAGTCAATTGAATTTTTAGAACATTTTTATGAAAAATCTTTTAGAGGGTATTTTAATAAAATAAACTAATATAATAATAGAAAGGTAAGAGAGAAATGAGATAGTATATTGGATGAGATATTTTTAGAGCATTTACATAGAAAAGTGAGTGAATATTTAACTATTAAAATATTAAAAAAATTAAGAAACAATTCTCATATAAAACCTCCATTAAATGTATTTCAATATAGGTATCTCATAAGATAAAAAGAGAAAATAATAGTATTTTATTATGTAAGTAAGAAAAAATAAGAGAGAAGAGGAAAAGAGCAATTCAAATGAGAGACTTTTACATATTTTGAGATACTTATATAGCATCTGTCTTCATATAATTAACTTAATTTATATTCATAAATTAAAATTAAATTATATAACTAAATTACATTAAATATATGAGTATAATATTTTTGGGATTCTTAAGGTTATCTGTCCAATGAAAATGCTTAAAGAGATTTTGAGATATGTTTCCAAACTATTTAGGACACTAATCTTTTTATTATTTCTTTAATTTCTTATTTAAAAACTAAAATTAATTATATAAATAAAACAAATAAAATATTAATATTTTATTGTCTAGATATTTGATATGAATCTCTTATTGATTGGTATATTCTTAGAGTTTCAAAAAAGCACTTGCATTTTTTGAATGTTTTCATTTTTTCATTTTTAAAAATGAATTAAAAATAAAATAATATAAAATATACTAATAAAATATTTGATAAAATACTTAGAAAAGTATATAACCAATAGAAATATTCTCAGAATTTAGAAAAAAATTAGCTTTTTCATTTTTATTTTTAAAAATACTAAAAAAAGAGATTGGTTAGAGACAAGGAGACATATTCTTGCTTACCGAGAAGAAAACACGGCAAGCTCGTGATAGTACTGTCAAAGACAAAAACAGCTCAATTATTAAGGATACATTAATTATTACTGTTAGGCTAATCTCAAAACTTTTTTACAATAGTTAATTAAAAAAAATCTTTAATTAATCCAAGTGGCATGCTTTTCTGTAGCGCGTGAATCTCAGTTGAGTGCCCACCACAGGGGACAAGCAGTGAAGCTGTAAGGATTTCCGCTGCGCTTGCATTATTTTTCCATTTACAAACACATGCCCTTTTCTGAGAATAAATTTTAAAAAATAGTTTTCAATTATCTTACGTAAAACTGTAAAAGAAATCAAAATTAGTTATTATGAATTTTGTAGAAGTGTTTTCTTGGTCTATATATGTTGATGTTTTTCTTACAACAAATAAAATATTTAAGTATAATAAATTCGATTTCGTTGATAATACTATATGGCATGCCGCTCATTTCATAATAAAATTTTTTTATTGCTGTAGTTTTTCTAATAAATACGGTGATATATATATATATATGGTTGTTTTAACAATTTTTTTTAAGTGAGTGTTTTAACAATTTCATGAGATGATGATACAAGTATACTAACCGTTAAAATAGTAATAATGAGCAATATAAATGAATATGAGATGACTATATATAACATAATATTTTGAAATAAAAAAATTCCACTTTGAATACTCAAATGGCTAAATTAATTTATATAGTATAGTTTATGGGTTTTGTTCAACAAAGTTTTTTTGTTAACTAATTCGGTTCTGCAATTTCATCTTCTTTAAAGCTCCATTGACATACAGTACTTCAACCTGTTCCAACATTAAGTTTGTCTAATTTCCATAGGTAAGTACATCATATAGTTTGTACGCGATTTCCACAATAAAATAACAAAACTCTTTTTCGTTTACTTACTACAATAATAGTTTCTATTTAAGCAAAAATAGTGATAGTCATGGTAGCAGCTGAACTATTTTTGTATGTTGGACAGATGTTAGATGATCAATGTAAATGATAAGAGTTATGCTTTATAATGAGATTTTTGTTTATGAACACAAAATCAGTTAAACGGCATTTAATGATGAAAAATATATAAAAGAAAAATAATAATTATTATTATTTTACTTTGCATATATTTGCATTATTGGGAAAGTATAACCATCATTTTTCGATGATGAAATATTCAGTTCAGTTAACTTTTGTTTTTTTAATATGGTTGGCGAGGCAAATATATCAGATGTTCTCTTACCAGACGACGCACTTTTATAGTGCCATATGTATCAGACATCAGCCTACCACTTGTAATCAAGGGCGGATCTACTTGATAAGTAAGTGCCCCATACTAATAAATATTCAAAAAAAATTAAGTGTTAGTTAGACATATAATTTTGCTAGTTTAGTTGGATTGAGTTACGATTTTCAATTTATATGCTAGTTTAGTTGGGTTGAGTTACGACTTTCAATTTATGAGTTTTATTGTTCGAATGTCCACTTTCTTCCAAGTTAAATTTTAAAAATTAAACAAATACTGTATTATTTACTACATGTATTAATAATAAATATCAATTATCAATTAATTAGTTCAATATTTTTGATTATTTGCCCATACTAAAATATTTTCTGCCTCCTCCACTACTTGTAATGCCATATGTACCAACCTAAACTTCTCCTTGAGACAAACCGTATCAGATGTTCTTCTATTCATATATATTTTGTATAACCAACACTCCTTTGTGCTAGACATCTTCGGGCTAGACATTATTTTGAGCCAGATGTCTCTTTGGGTTAGATGTTCTGTTGAACTAGATACCTTTTTGGATTTCTGTAAATTACTCTTTTCGCAGTCAGTATGTAAGACACATGCTTGTCAAAGTTACCATTCTCTACTTCAGTTATGTTTACAACTTTATCCCAAAACTTTTTTTCTTAATCGACATTAGAGCATACACTTTTAACAATTTCGACCCCTTAGACTATTTATAATGGTATGTTGAATTTTTTTATTAAACAGGTGAAGTAATGTAATGGTGTGTTATAAATCTTGTTGAAAAGTATGTGGAAGATGTGAATCTTTTCAATATGTTAGAATCGGTGAAAATGGAGCCTAATAAGATCATGTGGCACTCAGTTATTGGACACATAAATTGGTGATCATATAATATATGAATTGGAACATGTGTTGGGTTTTTATTAGCTACTAAGATTTTTGATTTTTTTTTCACCCAAATTATTTCATCACAATATTTTTTATTTGTATATTGAAATTTTTCATTTTTCATACTGTATAAATAGAGACTTATTTTATCTGATTTGGATACCAAAAAAAAACATAAAAGAAATCATAATATAAAATCATAATATTAAACAAACATATTTTAGATGATAAAAAATTGAATTATTATATGGAAAAAGATAATATTGAATGTTAAAAAAAAAGATGTTAAAAAAACCATTGTACATAGTTTTAGGTACACTATTATGTTGTGGTATATCTTTGACTATGTGATGTCAGATATTTCTTTCATTCTTACATAGCCGATGGACTTCATATGAACAAAGTTCATGAAATTTCTTTGACAAAATTTGCATATCCCTTTCACATGACATTTCTTTCTATTTTTCACTAAATTTTTACTTTAAATATTGAAATAATCTATAAACTATAAGTAAAAGTAATCTAGTCAATTAAGTTTGAGAGAAGTGTTGTTTACAATATTTTTTTGTGAAGTGTAATCCTCAAAAAATAATCTTCTATAGGACATTTTTCCAAATATATGCATTTTACCAAAAACAAAGTATAGAAACTAGAAAGTGCAATGGTTAAAAAAAAAGTATACAAAGTGCAGTAATTTTAGCGTTCTCTAGAGAAAATGGTGCTCTTAGCTAACTTGTTGAAACCTAACTTGAGGAAAATGTATTTTTCAATACCGATACTGACAGAGGAAGACTACGGATTCAAAAGTTGAATAACATCCTCTAATTCACAAAATCTTGGAATTTCTATATTAAAAAAATATTGTTTGTAAACAACTGCAGGCCGACTTATATCTAAATTAATTAACAATTAAATCCCAAAATTCCGTTAATCATGAGCTCATTTTGGTGAAATTGTAAAGGGTGTCTTTTTTTTTCAAAAGTAAAGAGACTAGAGAGAGAGCATGTCATACTTGTGTTGTGTGTCTTCCTGTGGTAGAAAAACCCAAGTGAGGAAAATAAAATAAAGAAAAAAGGTAGAAGAGGAGAAAAATAAAAGGCAGCCATAGCCAAAGGGTTCGTGTCGGCTTCAACCAAACACTGACGGTGTATGTATACACCTTTACATACACGCTTTTATCTCATATCTATGCACAAATCTCCTGTTTTGGTCTATCACTTTGCATTATTTTGACAGCAATTTCACTTCTATATCCTCTAGATTTTCACTACCCTCCATTCTAAATTTGTTACTTTCATCTGGGTTTTATTTGAACCCTAGCTCGCTTCGGTGGATCGTTGAAGTAAAGGTTCGATTTTGATTTCTGGGTTTTGCTTGTTGTTTAGTAAATGCTGAGAAATGAGTAGACTTTCGAGGATCCATGGTCAGATTTAGGTTCTGTCCCTTGATTTTAGCTGTATTTGATTCTGGGGATAATCTTAGATCAAGAGTCGATACTTCGTTACACATCCCAATTTCAACTCTTGTTTTTCGTTCCTGATCTTGATTTTCTTTTGAATATCATTTACCCCCTTTTCTTTCTAAGTGGGGTTTCTCTTGGGTTTCGGGGAAAATTCGTCTGTAGCATTTGTTCTCTTCTCACAGATTTCGTTATATTAGATTGTGTTTTTAGGTTCTGAGTTGAAATCTTGCCATTGTTGACATGATTTGTGTAGTACACTGACGTAAAACTGACAGTTTTGTTTTGCAAAGTGTGAATTTAAGGACTGAAATCTGTTCTTTGTCTTGCTTTTGCCTTTTTTGGTTCTTTCTTTTTACCCCCTTGCTTGAGCCACCATAGGACTTCTCTTCAAATTGGGTAATAAAATTTGAGAATCTGAGTCTTGTGAGTGTGCTTTAGACACAATGTAGAACAAAGCAGTTGCATAATTGGCCCACATTTTTGTCAGTAAATTTAAGAAAGGGTTTAAATGTTGATACATGATGACATCTATCAGAGCTTTGTTTGTCTAAATTAAGATAAGGATAGGTCCATCTTCTTTTCTCTTTCAGAAAGACATTTCAATCTTATAGTTTCTCTTCTTTGGCCTTTTTTCTCAGGTAAATTCATCAAAAAATTAAATGGATTCTCAAATGGCAGCTACCAATCACTCATCTGGAAAACCTGGAGGTTCGTGGAATATCTTTTTTGTTTATACCATTCTCATTCTGTCAAGTGTGTTTGCTCTTTTCTAGGTTTGATTACTCTCTGAAGTGAGTGGATTTCACTCTTTTACATTTTTGCAACTCTTGCTTTGCTTTTGAGATACAATGTTGCATCTCAGAAATATCTTTGTTTCTTTGTGTTGACGTCAATCCATTTGTTTGTAGGGGTTTTAAGTGATGCTTTATATAGAGAGCTTTGGCATGCTTGTGCTGGGCCTCTTGTAACCTTACCTCGTGAAGGGGAACGAGTTTATTATTTCCCTGAAGGTCATATGGAGCAGGTATTTTGTTTACTGGTTTGAATCACTTGACATTGTTTTGTACATTGTTATCATGCTCATTTGCTAAAACCAGTTATGTTAATTGGGCTGTTCTTACTCTGTATGCCTTCTTGTGATTTCACATGATCAGTTGATTATCTTTTCTGATTATCTTTATGTATTTAACTGATCACTGACTATGCAGCTCGAGGCATCGATGCATCAAGGTTTGGAGCAACAGATGCCTTCCTTCAATCTCCCATCTAAGATTCTCTGTAAAGTGATCAATATCCAGCGCAGGGTAGGCTGAATTCGATATTATATGATATAATTTCCTTACCTTTTCCTTTATGAAATGTGTTGGCTAATAATTTTAAGCCTTGTTGTGCTTCACTTCGCAAGCTCAGGCAGAGCCCGAGACTGACGAAGTTTATGCACAAATAACCTTATTGCCAGAAGCGGATGTAAGTTTATTATAAGCAAAAGATTTAGTGGTTTGGTGTTTCATAATATAAAGTTTATATATATATATATATATATATATATATATATTTTCATTTCTTGATTTTGGTGGAACTATTGTGTTTGGTCATTCAGCAAAGTGAACCCATCAGCCCGGATGCACCTGTTCAAGAACCTGAAAAGTGCACAGTACATTCATTTTGTAAGACACTAACTGCTTCGGACACAAGCACACACGGTGGATTCTCTGTGCTACGGAGACATGCAGATGACTGTCTTCCACCCTTGGTCAGAGTTGCTTCCTGTGTTCTTGTTGAATTATTTATACCACTTCAACTGCTTTTTTTGTTTGTAACACTTTACTTTCTCTTCTCTAGGATATGTCCCAACAACCACCGTGGCAAGAACTGGTTGCAACTGATTTGCACAACAACGAGTGGCATTTTAGGCACATTTTCCGAGGTTACTACACTTGCTATCTTATTACGAGATTGTCTTTGAATTTCCGTTCCTTTACCCCAAATGCTACTGCTTATGAGAACCTTTGAGGCTGTACATAGTTTTGCATTAATAATATTGTTTCACGTTTATTAAATATCATGCCGTTGTGACTACAGGTCAACCAAGGCGCCATTTGCTAACAACTGGGTGGAGTGTTTTTGTTAGCTCGAAGAAACTAGTGGCTGGTGACGCTTTCATATTCTTAAGGCAAGTTCCTCATCATTTCATTTGCCTGGATATTATTTTTATCCTTAAACGTCTTGAGCATGATGTGACACAGTATTGTCTCAGGGGTGAGAATGAAGAGCTTCGAGTTGGTGTTAGGCGGCACATGAGACAACAGACCAATATCCCGTCCTCTGTCATTTCAAGTCATAGCATGCATATTGGTGTCCTTGCAACTGCTGCTCATGCCATTACAACAGGAACAATCTTTTCTGTCTTCTACAAGCCAAGGTCTTGCTTTCTTATACCAGTTAACTTAGTCATTGACTGGAAACAAAATCCGAAAAACACTTTAAGCCATCTTATTATGCCTTTGAGTTACTGTTGCGTGCATATGTGATAAATCAGTTGGCTGACGATCCAGACTGACAGTATCTTCTATTATCAGGACAAGTAGGTCAGAGTTTATTGTGAGCGTCAATAGGTATCTCGAAGCTAAGAACCAGAAGCTATCTGTCGGCATGCGTTTCAAGATGAGATTCGAGGGTGAAGAAGCTCCCGAGAAAAGGTACCACATCTAACTAGCTTGTTTTCTTCTTGCTGATAAATCTGAATGCTATTTAACTTCAAGTTTTTTCTGTTGTGTTTTAACAATGCAGGTTCAGTGGCACAATAGTTGGTGTTCAGGAAAACAAGTCTTCGGTATGGCATGATTCTGAATGGAGATCGCTTAAGGTTAGAACATGCTACTGTTATACTTCGCAGTGGTGCAAGATGTGGATTGGTATTTCTTTAACCGAGAGAATCTAGTGATGCATCCTAATATGTTTGTTGCGAAACTTATAATGCTTCAGGTTCAGTGGGACGAGCCCTCATCTGTATTCCGTCCCGAAAGAGTTTCACCATGGGAACTCGAGCCCCTAGTTGCAAATAGTACCCCTGCTTCACATCCTCAGCCTCTACAAAGGAACAAACGACCTAGACCTCCTGGTTTGCCTTCACCAAATACTGGTCCAACGGCTCCTGGTACTTTGTGTTCTTTTCTATTTTTGACTGTTCTTCCTTGTGGCAGCTCCAAGCTCATTTTATTAATGCTCTCTTCAGTTACTGCAGATGGTGTGTGGAAATCCCCGGCAGAGACTCCTTCCTTGGTGCCATTATTCTCTCCTCCTGCCAAGATTGCTACTTTTGGCCATGTTGGGAACAAATTATTTGGAGGACCATCCATAGGATCAGCCTTTTGGCCATGCCATGCAGATAGTGCAGCTGAATCTTTTGCTTCAGCGTTTAACAACGAGCCTACTGAAAAGAAGCAAACTAATGGAAACGCCTGCAGACTTTTTGGGTTTGAGCTAGTTGAAAATGTTAATGTGGAGGAGTGTTTCTCTGCTGCCTCTGTGTCCGGTGCTGTCGCTGTAGATCAACCTGTCCCATCCAATGAGTTTGACTCCGGCCAGCAATCTGAGCCGTTAATTATCAACCAATCTAATATCCCTTCCGGGAGTGGTGATCCTGAGAAGTCTTGTCTGAGGTCTCCTCAAGAATCGCAAAGTAGACAGATACGTAGCTGCACAAAGGTGATTATTAGCCTCATGGATCGTTCGCTCTTTTAAAATCTGATAACAGCTTGAATATTAGTCTTAAATTGACACAATCTTAACATTGGTCTTGCTTTGGCAATTTGATTTAGGTGCACATGCAAGGCAGTGCAGTAGGTAGAGCTGTTGATTTGACACGGTCTGAGTGTTATGAAGACCTGTTCAAGAAGCTGGAGGAGATGTTTGACATCGAGGGTGAACTCTTAGAATCGACCAAGAAATGGCAAGTTGTTTACACGGATGATGAAGATGACATGATGATGGTTGGTGATGATCCATGGAAGTAAGTGTATTTGCAGTCTAAAATTCAATTTTTGTTTTAATCTCAATAAGCACAACACAGCATTGTTTACAATTGTAGAGCATCATCCTACTGCAATGTTTCCTCTTTAATGGGTCCTTTTGGTCTTCTGTTTTGTGGTGCAGTGAGTTCTGTGGAATGGTGAGAAAGATATTCATATACACACCTGAGGAAGTGAAGAAACTTTCACCCAAGAACAAACTGGCAGTGAATGTTAGGAAGCAGCCCAAAACTGATGCAGACGAAAATGGGAACACGGAGGGCACGGTAGAAAAATTGAGTATGTCATTGTTTTAACGCATTTGTTGCCTCGACGTCAAAAAAAAAAAAAACGCATTTGTTACCTCTTAGAAAAAATGAAAGCAGAAGCAAAAGATCGGAAGACAACTGAGAAATGAGATGTCTGTGTATAGCAATGAAGTTTTTTATCTTCAGGTCTTATGAAGTCACTTAGATGTAAGTGTTTTGGGGGATTGTTTAGCTTTTGTAAGGAAAGTGTGGAAATTGAGACTCATCTCTTGCTCTACATCAAACCAATGGTCATGGTCAAAAATAAAATTATGAAATTAAATTTCCTCTTGATTTTATCTTAGTACACACTATAAATTCTTAACAAAAATGAATGAAAGTACAAGAAAAGCTCTTTGCTTCTTTTGTTTTCAATCTTGCTGCCAAGAAAGAAGTAAAGATGCCATCACAAGTAGAGAGATGCTGCGAATACAATGTCTCTTTTGATCTTGGAAACAGCTTCTTCTAGTTTACCTTCAAGCTCTGTTTCTCCAATGGATTTTGCAGCTACTATGAGCTGTTGCAGAACTTCCTCCATTCTCCTTATCGCTCTGATCAAGCTCCCTTCAAAAACACGAGCAATCTCCATGATCTCATAAAACTTCGACCCTTTAGCCCACGCATACACGGCCTCCATTATATCCGGTCTGAACGAATGCACAAACTTCTCCACATCGATTTCAACCTGTCACAAAAGACAGAAATGTTATGGAACCAAATCTTCTTTAGGTGGTCAGGTTTTTTCTTGGATGAGCAGGGAAAAAGAGTGTTAGTGAGAATACCTTGCAGTCAAGCTGAACTTCGGCGACACGCCTGGCCGTGTCTTGTAACTGTATAAAGAGCAAGTCGAGTTCTTCTCTGGGTTTAGCTGCGTCGGGGAGTCTCTCTCGCCACACAAAGCAAGAGAGGAGAGAAACCAACTCCTCCACCTTTGCTTCCTTGAAGACACCACTGAACATTAGCTCAGTTAATGTTAATTCATCCGCACTACTGATTTCACATGCAACCTTTCCCTTCAACTCCACTACATTGTCGCTAGTGATGTATCTGTTTTAAAACATCAGATTATCAATAAAAGAGAAGTTTATACAGTCATCAGTAGGACAAACAACAATATTACAGTCAAACAAGATTGAGATAGAAGGTGTGGCTGATGAAGAAACTTGAGTTGGTTTCATAAATATGTTTCATAAGTAAGGGAATGTGATAAATTTAGCAAGTATATTACCTTAGCCTTCGTAAAACACGCTTTCTGGCCTTAAGTTCATCTTTAAACGCCAATGCAGTTGAGGATCGGACGGTTTTCTTCAGTGATTTGATCTTGGCCGTTATCTCTTCCTTCATGTGAAAAACTTTCAGCTTCTGTGTTATGAGGGGAGATTTTGCAATTTTGTGTTTCTCAAATAGGTTTTCCAGAGCCTCCAGCTGACGAACTGTCTTTTTGTAAGAGCTGTTCCGAATCTAATGACGTAAAAGTTGTATTCATATCTTAAGACAAATGAAAGAGAGCAAAAGTAGAAGTGTATTTGGGGACCAAAAAACAATATACGTACCTTCATATCAACTTCAGGATCAAGGGGTATTCCATCGGGATGTCTAGAAAGTAACTCAGAAACCTTCTTCAGAGCATTCTCTCGAGCTTCTACTGGTACAAGATCTTTTGGTATATTCATGATTGCACTGCTTAAACTCTTAATCTGTTCATGATAATAAAGGATAAACAAAAAGATCATCAAGATCAGAATCTGGCGAGGATAAGCCGCATAAGAATGTGTTTACATTATAAAGAACCACGAAGACAAGAAATGGAGCAGCCATGTTACCTGAGATAAAGGAACAGAGACCACAACAGGCTCACCACGCTCCTTAAATGGCACAGCCTTAATTTTCTTTTTGCCAACGCTATCCTTGCTTACCATACATCTAGTCAGCACATCTACGGTGTAGTTTGCATCCTCTGGTCTTCTATTATCATCATCTAGATGAATTGCTCATGTCAAGACGGAATTATCACTGTTTAAATAGACTAAAACTAAAAAAAATTCTCAGAGTTCTAACCTTCAGATAAGGTTTTGACTTTGTTAAATTTCATTATCACTCCCCACGCATCCTGGTCTTCAACGCTGAATGATTGTGGCTCTTCATCATCATTTGTGCACTCGAGACAAACAGCTCTGTTTGGCAGCAAAAAGGGTAAGCAGTGCTTTGGAGTGAAGACAATTTCACGTATATCCTTCTTCTTGCTCTTATATTGCAAAATCAATTTATAGTAATCTTTTAAGCTTTCTTCTTCTTCAATCACCATGCTGTCTCTCTCTTCTTCCAGGGTTTTGATTTGCTTCTGCAAAGACCAGGCCACAATCACATCATTTACATAAATTGAACATTATCATAATCAATAAATCTGACATTTACTCATTTTGCAACTGCACCTCTAGATCCGGGATAGCACGGTCAGCTTGAAACTGAAAAAAAGAATTTCGGAGAAGATTCTCAGGATCACCTTCTTCACACCGCAACTGATTTAGAAGCATGTTATAGCTCAAATGGAAAGCACTAGTTGAAAAAGGAAACAAAACAGTTTAGGTCAATAACTATTTCATGAGGTCTAAAGCAGAACTTATCAGTCAGGTTGATCATTTTCTACCCTGTGGATTTAACATGTACCTGTTCAAAGAATCAGCACTTCCTTTGAGCATTGATTTAGCAATAGCAGGTTCCATCTTCTCATCAACCATGAGGATGCAGATACCTCGTTTGTCAATACCTCGACGTCCAGCACGGCCACTCATCTGAATGTACTCTCCACTAGATAGCCACCTGAACTTGTCTCCATCAAACTTACGTACATTTGTAAACACAACCGTCTTTGCCGGCATGTTCAATCCAATACTAAATGTCTCTGTTGCAAACAGACACTAAACGAAAACACTTCATGAGAAAGGTAAATAAACAACAATAAAGAGGAAAACATGAAACGAAGTGATGCATGGCAAAGAGAGTAAAGATAAACATATTACACACCAAACAGATCTAGACAGTGAACGAATTGAAAATATGGAAACTGTAGCTCAACGCTTTCACCTACCTTAATCAGACCTTCTTGAAATAATATCTCAATTACTTCTTTCAAAATTGGGAGCAGACCCGAATGATGAACGCCTATACCACGTTTTAAGATGGGCAAGAGACTTGACACCTGCAGTACATGAAGCCAGGAACCATGTCAATTGTCCTGCGTAACAAATATATATCCAACAAGCCAAATCACATCTGAAACTAGATAAACTAAACAAGGACCAATATGATCATTTATCGAACAGCAGGAGTAAGGAACATGAGTTATTACATTGTGACAAGTACAGTATTTAAGGGAAGCTCAACTTTTACGCAGGAGGATGGCTACTGGTCAAGTAAAATAGAAAATAAAGTTTGAGATAAAAGAGGCGAAATTGGTGTGAAGTTCAATACTAAAGGCTAAAGAAATACTAGCCATTGCGAGACGTCCTAGCCCATAGATAGCCCAAACATAACTTTATGTTTCAAGAAAGAACTTTTAATGAGTGCTTGCCTGAGGTAGCTTCTTATCATCATCTGAAAGGTTATCGATTGCACTAGTAAAAATCATCTCCACATTGTCTTTCTCATCGTCGCTGTTTAAGTCCATCTTAGACATCTGTAGTGCAAACAGACAGGCATTACAATCATGTTTTAGACAATACGAGCCATGATAAGCAGAAAATGAATTTCAGGTTTTACAATACACATAAAACAAGACATTGCAAAGTGCAGGTTAGCACACTAAACAAAACAATTGCTGAACCGTCTACACAAGCGAATTGTACACAGAAATAAAATGAAAAGAACGCTGCTGCAATGCAAACATACTGTTAAGATTCAGAACGTAGAAACTCTTTTAACTCACTAGGGGGAACAGTATGCTACAGACTTCTTTTGGGACCCAACTATTACAACGAGTCCCAGATTACTCACCTATTCTGCTACTAACGGAATTTAACCCCTATCAGCTCTAGCAATAAAGTTTTACTGAGGAAAAGACCTTTAGTCAGGAGACTTTGATAGTTACTGAATCGATTAAACACACATGAACACATACAACAACCAATGAGGTACCACGTCCACACATAAGACTCCTGGAGCTTATCACAGTCACTCCAACCCAGATCGTTTTGAAGGGGATAAGGCTGATCCCATGCATAAGATGAAAGGAGAAACACAAAAAAGAAAACCTAAGTTTCTAGGGAGAAATGAGGAAACTAACCTGCATAGCAAGTGCCTCGCATTCCTTTTTGCTGAAACTGAACAAAATCACGGGATCATATTGCCGCTGAATTATCATTTTCACCAATTTGAAGATATCACTTTCTTCACCAAGTTTTCCAACCATTAATCCCTTTTGAGACTTTCTATTCTCTCTTTTCTTGTCAGCATCACTAGCAGGAACTAGTGCGTTAAGAGATTTCTGGAAGCTATCCTCGTGAAATTTAGCCTTTTCATCCACAACCAAGTAAAGCCCATTACCTCCAGCAGGAAAGACATAGTGCTGAAGCGGAGTTGGCCTATAATCGGTGTAAACAATGTGGCATGGTTGTTTGTGAACCTGCAATACCAACACTAATCAAATCTCCAGAGCTTTCATTTGAACAGGCTGCGTTATCATGTCAACTCAAAGAAACACCATGGATACGAAAGTTACATTGTATTCCTTTAATCAGAATAACAAGTTGAGATGAGAATCCAGATAAAAAACGGTATATAATGTATTACTCCATTCACAAAAGAGAAGTAGAAGGATTAGAAAGAGAGAAATGAATCACCTTTGCAACCCAATCAGCAAACTCCTTGGCATTGGGCACAGTTGCAGAGAGAAACACAAAACGAGAATTCTTCGGAGCCATTACAATACTTTCTTCCCAAACCACACCTCTCTCACTATCACGCATGTAATGCACCTCATCAAAAATAATCCAAGCAACCTCCCTCATAATCTCTGACCCTTTATACTGCATGCTACGCAAGATCTCTGTGGTCATGACCTAAAACAAAGATGACAAAAAAAACTAAGAACAACCAGCAAATAAAGCAATTTATGAGACGGCGTCGAACAGTGGCAAATACACTTACCAGGCAAGAAGCATTAGGATCAATAGTCACATCCCCGGTCATTAAACCAACGTCAGAAAACTCTTCTTTAAAATCTCTGTACTTCTGATTGCTTAGTGCCTTTATAGGAGAGGTATAAATAACCCTCTGGTTCTCCCTCAACGACATGGCAATCGCATAGGAAGCCACAACTGTTTTACCAGCAGATGTATGAGCTGAAACCTGAACATGAACCACACACTTCAGTTTATTCTCTCTTCTACTTTCATTTGAATTAGACAACCATTGTAAATTTCACAGCTTGAATTAGTCAAGTGACAGAAACCAAAGAAGTAGAATTCACAGAGTACCCAAATCAATTACACAAGATTACAAATTTGGTAACCAAAAAATTAAACTTTATGAGAATCATGGGCAGTGGAAAAAAATCCAAATCTTTCGAAACCTGAGATATCTATACACGGTTTTATTACATAATGATTCGAAAAGCTTGAGCCTTTGAATTCGGTTTTTCAGCTTACCATGACTGATTCGCCATTATCGAGACACTTGATAGCTTCAGACTGGAAGGAGTCAAGGGTGAAAGGGAATTCTTTGGCAGGTGGTTTGGTGTCTCCTTGAGCGGAGGGAGCAAGAGGAACGTAATTTTCAGGGAAGGAAACATCGTGAACGCAACCCACGAGCTCTTCGTTGATGATCTGAGTGGAATCATCCTCTTTCTGAACCTTCTGCGGCGGAGCACAATCAGACGATTCCTCCGCCGATTTTCTCTTCACCGAGCCCATGGTCAATGGGTGTGTATAGTTTTCCGCCGGCGAGTGTTCTTGCTCTGATTCAGAGGAGAATTTGAGAGGAGGAAGATGAGAAACGCCGTCGAGGAATTAGCGGCGAACAAACGGTATATTGAGATTAGAAGGAGTAATAAGAAAGTGATGATAGGGGCAATTTTGGAAATGTGTAAATAACTTTCCCCAAACCCCAAAACCCTAACTCATAGAGTTCAACTTTTGTGTTTCGTAACTAGGTTAAGTCTCTTGTACATACGTTAAATTAAATCATTCTTTTTATTTTTTTTGTAGTAAACGGGGAGACAAAAGTCTTTCCATAATTTATTTATGATAAAATAAAGAGAAATTGGATCATATGATATAATCAAGTTAAATTATTCAAATAATCATAACAAACTAGATGCTATAATATTTTTTATATATTTTATAATATATACAAAATTACCCTTTTGTTTTATTCCCTTTAGTCATTTCTCCTTCCATCTTCTCTTCTCATTTCATATTTTTCCCCTCTATTCTCCTCTGCTCACCTCCGTTCATCTCATCTCCCTTCCTCCCTTTCCCTTTTCCTTGCCTCCCTTTCCCTCTCCTCCCTTCATCTCTCGTTTTCTTCTCTTCATTCCTCTTTACAAAAAATATTTTTGTAAATACTATATCAAATAAAACTATTTCATAAAATTGATATATAGTATAGTATAGTAATGATTATTTTCGACAACTGATTATAGACCATGGTTAGTTTACTAATTTTTTAAATAGCATGGTTATATTCTTTGATTGTTTTGCAAATATGATTATTGAACAAAAAAACTCTAAAATAAAAACTTACAAACGCTATGTCATGCTTGCGTAGAACGTTTACATCCTCCGTTATAATGAATTTTTTTTTCAAACAATGGAAAAAATGGTAAAAAGAACGCATAATTTGTTAATCCATCTGTTAGCGATGAGTCTTTCTATACACATAAGAAATCCAAATTATCCAATCTTTTAATATAAAGCCATAACACCAATATAGTAGGGAAGACAAGAGATGAGAATCATTGATTCCCATTGTTAGAAAATCAACCATTATCTCTACATCCATTTCAAGCTCTAAATGAGTGACTCGATGCTTCCACTTTATGTATAATCTATAGTAGATTCTCTATAGCTCAGCAAACCGTGCCAAACATATCTCAATATTAAGAGCAAACTCTCCACACCACTTGCCATTCTCATCGCGTAAGACCCACCAACGGTTGCCAGTCTAGAATTTTCATGTGACGCACCATCTCATATGTATTCAGTTTCACCATCTGCTTATTGACGAAATCTATGATAATTGAATCTATGTATATATTTTAAGTGGATTGAAATATATTTGTAAAATTTTATAATATTTGTCAATATTGAATTCATATATCTGTAAACTATATTAATTACTAATCATATTATAAAATGTTTAATTTACAGTTAAAAAAACTTATACTTATATAAAATATATGTCAGTTGGCAACTGTGGTTATAACACGTGTGCTTTTATAAAATTACTTTTCGTCTTTATATTTTTAGTTATTTTTTTTTGTAAATTTTTTTTTAGTTCATCTCATCATCTCCATAATCATTCCCAAGCCACAATCTTTGGAAAACTACCTTGTATTATTCAATTTATATTTGTGTGACACTATTTTGTGTCCCTCGATTGCTTTACAAAAAAAGAACACAGTTTTTCTCAATATCAAATCCAAAAACCCATTCGATGTTGGTGACGTCTCTTCTCCCAGGTAAATTACTCACACATCTCATAGTTTCCTATGTTTTGTTTCTCAATCTATCTAGACTTACTCTATTCTGTAGTCTTCTTCTATAGATCGAGATTCTTCTTTTTCTATCCCTTATGTTTTTTTTGTTGTTGTCAACATTCTAACTTTTTGGTTATTCTCACGCCCAACCAAAGGCGGAGGTAGAATTATTTTTGACTGGGTTCACATTGGGGTTACCGGCCTATATACATTTGTCACTGGGGTCAACTGATAGAAATTAACCATTTCGACACAAGAAATTACACATAATTAAGGTTGCAAAACCAAAATTTACAGATTTCATAGGGGTCACTTGACCCCCTAACTCTAAGGTGGCTCTGCAACTGCGCCTAACAAATAATGATTCATTGATATAGTATTCAAAAATGTGTGGGTATTGGTGTGATAACTGGTAAGACGACAAATAACCGAACACTCTAGCGAGAAGAGAAGAAAAATAATAGCAATCAATCAGAGATTAAATTACACATGTAAGTATCATATCCTATTTTTTGATCTCCTTAAACTTGGGTTAATTTTATGGATTTAGCTCCCTCTGTTAGAAGTAGCTATGAGACTTCAGATAATTCAGATAGTTTGAATAAATGGATAGTTAGAATTGCTGAAATTCTACCGAAAATAACCAAAATTTAATTCAGTTAGTTCAGATATTAAATTTGTTACCTGAAACTAACTATTTTTTTGTTTAAATTCGGTATAATTCGGATAATTTCGGGTAATTTCAGATAAATTTGAATAATTTTAAATAATTTTAGGTCGGTAAACCGAACCAATAACCAAACCAGATTTTAAACCTGACCAATCGGTTTTACTTCAGTAACCGAATCAGAACCAAAAACCAAAAAATCCAGTTCGGTTACTTCGGTTCGGATAAAAGTTCCAGGACTAGTTAGAAGTATTTTTTGTGTAGATATACTTTGCAACAAATAAATTCTCTATAAACTATAAAAAAATCAAAATGCTTTTGAATAAGAAAGAAAAGGAATGTGAAAGGAAGATTGGAGGCGAACAAAAAAGAAAGAACTAGAAAAGAATAGTTACAAAAACTCTAAATTCTCTACAAAAAATAGGAAAATAATAATTCGAATTTAAAAAAAAAGCATCGGAAAACAGATAGTAAAGGCAAACAAATATGAAGAAATTGAAGAGAATAGTTATCAAACTTAAAGAAGATATATATCTTTAACAAATTATAAAACTAGAAATTCTATATGAAATAAGAGAATTTAATATAATATTTGTAATAAAAAACCAAGAGAATGTGAAAAAATTGGAAAACGAACATATACAGTAGATGACACAACAACTTATAAATAGTAGTTATAAAATTATAGAAAAAACAAAAGATCGAAAATATTTATGAATAAAACTAAAATAAAATCATTTATATACAAAAATATATATTTTACAAACTATAAAAACTACAAATCCAATAGTCAAATATATTTCCTCCATCTAAGGTGTACATATCAGCATTTTAAATTTTTTTAATGTGGAAGCCCCTTAGTCCAGTGGTTGACTAAAAGTTCATTAATGCTTCTACACCAGGAGGTCTGGGTTTCGATTCCCAGAAAATACGATTTCTGCAGGTTAATGGAGATATTCAGATAAAAAAAGGACAGACATTTGGAGTTATTCATGGTGGACCCGCATATCTATGGTGGATCTTTGTGGAATAGTTAATTTGTCCGTTAAATATTATCCTTGTAATTGTTTCCATAATTTGCATTCAGACGATTAAAAAAAATGGTTTTTAATTTTTTGGACTTTCACATGATATTAATTTTTTATAAGTTTATTTTTATACTTTTTGGGCTTCTAAAAACATTAACATAAAAGTAAAAAAGAAATATTTATTTCACAAACCACAAAAAGTCTAAATTTTTTACTAAATTAAAAATATCAAAATGTTAATTCGAATAAAAACAAAAGAATGTAGAAATTGCCGATTGAAGGCGAACAAAAATGAAAAACAACATTAATAAAATAGTTATAAAAAAATCTAAATTCTCTACAAAAACAAAGAGAATATGTAAACAGATATTTAAAAAAGTAAAGAGAACAGTTGTCGAACTTAAAGAAAAAATATATATATTTTATAAATCATACAAACTATAAATTCGATATGATATAATAATCAAAATATTATTTGGATTAAAACAACAAATAGAATGTGAAAAAGTGTTGGAAGATGAGCAAATACAAAAGATGATGCAAACTTAAAGAAAAACTCCAAAATATTTATGTATAAAATGATGTAAAATCATTCATATAAAATAAATACATATTTCACAAACTGTAAAAACTACAAATTCCCTACGAAATTAAAAAAATTGAGATGTTCTTTTGAATATAAACGAAGAGAATGTGAAAAAATGAGTTGGAAGACAAATAAATACAGAAGATGACGTAAGAGTTATGATATCTCATATATTTACATCATATAAGTTTGCATTTAGTTCATGTTTTGGTTTTCTTTTGGATGTTTCCTTCTCTTTAGTCCCATTTTCATTTCCTTTTAGACTTATGTTGCATTTAGGTTGTAGTTTGCATTCTCTATTCATTAAGGATGTTTTTAGATACTTAAGAAGCTATTGGGAGCAAGGATGAAGTGTGGGAATGGTTCAAGGACTTAGCCAAGCTGAGAAGGAGCAAAAGGAGCTAAGGAAATCGATTTCTGGTGCAACATCAGTCATGACACGAAGCACATCGGTCAATGGTGACCGATGTACAGCAACAGAGAAGCTGGTGAATCACATCGGTCATATGCATCAGTCCAATATGAAGAGACAGGACACCTGCATCAGTCAAGAACATCGGTCAAGACTGACCGATGTAACCAAGCCGAGAGGTTGAAGATTCGCATCGATCATCCGTATCGGTCATCAACTGACCAATGTAAAGCACCTGAGAGGAGCATCAGTCATCCTCATTGGTCACTTGTGACCGATGTAAGCCAGTCCGAACTTCCTGTTATTTATAACTTTGCCATTATTTTAGGGCTTTTGTCATTTACTATAAATAGGCTTGATCTAATGATTTTTGCATCAAGTCTTGTTCTTGCTTAGTTTTAAGAGTTTTTCAGTCTTTGTAAGAACAAGTCTATCATTTTAATCAGAGTTTTGTATTTGCCTTTTAATTTTCTCTAATCTACCTCTTAATCATGTTTATCATAATTTACTCTTGTTATTT